ATCTTTCTATCTATCTATCTTTCTTTCTATCTATCTATCTATCTATCTATCTATCTTTCTATCTATCTATCTATCTTTCTATCTATCTATCTATCTTTCTATCTTTCTATCTTTCTATCTATCTATCTGTCTATCTAAAGTTGGAGACATGTATCCTCCAGCCCACGTGGCTCAGAGTGAGCGGGACCTCGGCCCATTAGCAGCGGCCTGAGGGGGATGCGTCCTCCCCTCCCCTCCTCCCCTCCCTCCCTCCCATCAATGGACGGGACCAAAGTGCTTGGACTCTCCCTGTCAGTGGCTGAGCCTGAGGTATATAAGGAGCAGGCAGAGCAAGTCTAAGTCGCTATGAGAGCCATACACCGCTCACCTACACACACCAACATAACACGCATACACCCACATACACCCAACTCTCATTCCAGCGCACATCCCCTCCGGTAGTCTGACCGGATGAGTTACCCGGTGGACACCATAGGGAGCCCCTTCAGGAGAGCTATGGATACTAGGACGAGCAGCTACAGCCGCTCCGGCACCCCCTCCAGCGGCTTCCGCTCCCAGTCCTGGTCCAGGGCGAGCCCCGGCTCCAACGTGACTGCGTCTTACAAGAGGAGCGTGAACATGCCGGTGTCCCGGGCATACAGCTCCACGGTGCTCAGCTCCGCCGACAGCGTTGATTACAACCAGACCTCCATCCTGAACGGAGACTACAAGCGATCTAACGAGAAAGAGCAACTCCAGGGGCTCAACGACCGCTTCGTTGTTTACATTGACAAGGTGCATTACCTGGAGCAGCAGAACAAGCAGATCGAGGCAGAGATCCAGGCGCTGCGGCAGAAGCAGGTGTCCCGCTCCCAGCTGGGAGACCTGTACGACCAGGAGCTGCAAGAGCTGCGCTCCGTGCTGGAGCAGATCCACCATGACAAGGCGCAGATTCAGATCGACACCGACCACATCGAGGAGGACATCCATCGGCTCAGGGATCGCTTCGACGAAGAGGCGCGCATCCGGGAAGAGACCGAAGCTATCATCCGCGTCCTGAAGAAGGACATGGGCGACTCGGAGTTAGTGAAGTCCGAGTTGGAGAAGAAAGTTCAGTCGCTGCAGGATGAGATCGCCTTCATCCGCAACAACCACGAGGAAGAGGTGAGCGACCTCATCGCGCAGATCCAGGCTTCTCAGGTGACCGTGGAGAGGAAGGACCTGCAGAAGACAGACATCACCGAGGCTCTGCGGGAGATCCGCTGCGAGCTGGAGGGTCACTCCAACCAGAACCTGCAGCAAGTGGAGAACTGGTTCATGTGCCGCTACTCCAAGCTCACCGAGGCTGCGGAGCAGAACAAGGACGCCATCAAGTCCGCCCGAGACGAGATCTCCGACTACCGCCGCCAGCTGCAGTCCAAGACCGTGGAGTTAGAGTCCGTGCGCGGGACGAGAGACTCACTGGAGCGGCAGCTGAACGACATCGAGGACCGTCACAACAGCGACCTGGCCAGCCTGCAGGTATGGAGCCACACAGCCGTGCGTAAAGAGCGCAAAACGGCTGTAGTTTGATCAAACTTTTACACATTAGATTGTTATTTCTTGTTTTGTGATTTAACATATTCGTGCTTGTTTCAAACTTAATAATTAGACATTTGTAGATTGAATGAACGTGCAGAACATTTCATATGTTCTATCTTAGTGACGCAGTTTTTATTTGATGCGCTCAAACCCAGCAAAGTCTTTCCTCATCATTCCTGCATCATAGTTGAGTGTTTGTGAAAACATTTTCTGCTGCGTAATTGTTAGGAGGCACTCCATCGTCCTCGAATGCCCTGAGAGAGATTCTCAAGTGATAGGAAAAGGTTTGGGAGGGAGAGACTGCAGCAGACTCTCTCTCTCTCACTCCCTCTGTTTTGCTGAGTCAGAGGTAAGGGTGGATGCTTTCATTGGCTCTGTCCTTGGATCACATCACTGAGATTTTGAAGCGTGGGTGTGTGTGTTTGTGTGTGTGTGCGTGTGTGTATTGAACAAGTGTGGAGGTTGCCCTTGAAAACATGTCTTGAATACTGTATTGCGTCAGAATATATTAAATCGACAGCAGAGGTGAATGGAGATGACATAACTTACAAGAAAAAGGGATGATGATACATAAGAGTTTTATTATTGAGGCAAGGACACTCAGAGAAGAAGGTATATATTAAAGGCAACATGCACAGTGAGCAATCTGTACAACCTCTGTCCTGCGCAGGATTTTGATGCATTAAATCAACCGTGCATTGTTTTTGCTCCTTGTTTCCTCAGGAGACGATTCACCAGCTGGATAATGAGCTCAAGAGCACCAAGTGGGAGATGGCTCGTCACCTGCGCGAGTACCAGGATCTCCTCAATGTCAAGATGGCCCTGGACATTGAGATTGCTGCATACAGGTATATACTTACGTAATTCTGACATTTGATAAGGAGTTTTGAAATAACATTTACAGTCACTTTATGGAATCTCTTCTCTTTCAGGAAACTCCTCGAGGGTGAGGAAACCCACTTCAGCACTTTCCCTTATCGCCAGACGATCACTTCCGCCAAAATCTCCAAACCCAAATCAGAAACCCCCAAGCTGAAGGTGCAGCACAAGTTTGTGGAGGAGATCATCGAGGAGACCAGGGTGGAAGATGACAAGTCCGACATTGACGAGGCCCTGGCTGAGATAGCACAGGAGCTGTCGGCCACACTCGGAGGAGGAGAGGACGAGGAGGACAAGGAGGGAGGAGATGGTGAGGAAGCAGAGGCTGAGGATGAAGAGGGTGAAGAAGATGGAGGAGAGGAAGGACAGGAGGAGGAAGTTATAAGCGCTACAGAAGCCAAAGTAAGCTCCAGCACACCCACTAAGGGGGATGAGGAAGAAGAAGATGAGGGAAAGGGTGGCGATGAGGACGAAGAAGGAGAAGGTGGTGAGGAGGGACAGGATGAAGAAGAAGGTGAAGATGAGGGAGAAAAGGGGGATGATGCAGAGGGAGAAGGAGAAGAGGGAGCAGAGGATGAAGAGGAGGTTGAGGAGACAGTTCTGTGCTCCAAAGCTCCCGAGTCTAAAGCCTCTCCCGACAAAGAGAAGGCTGGAGTAGAAGATGAAGCAGCAGAGGAGGCTGGTGCTGAAGATGAGGGTGATGAGAAAGAGGAAAAGGAGGACGCAGAAAAAGACAAAAAGGAGGAAGATAAGAAGGTAAAAGATGAGAAAGCAGATGACCAGTCAGAAAAAGAGGTAGCCAAGGCAGAAGCTCCAAAAATGGAAGCTGCAAAACCTGAGGCCAAGAAGGAAGAAGCAACGAAACCTGAATCCCTAAAGCCTGGATCTCCCAAGTCTGAATCCCCTAAACCCCAGTCTCCTAAATCTGAGTCTCCCAAGCCTGCATCTCCTAAATCTGAGTCTCCCAAGGCAGGCTCACCGAAGGCCGGATCTCCCAAACCTGGTTCCCCAAAAGTTCAGTCCCCCAAGTCTGAATCCCCAAAATCTGTGTCCCCAAAACCCCAGTCCCCAAAAGCTGAATCTCCAAAAGCTGAATCCCCAAAAGCTGAATCTCCTAAAGCTGAATCTCCTAAAGCTGAATCTCCTAAAGCTGAATCCCCAAAAGCTGAATCACCAAAAGCTGAATCCCCAAAGGCTGAATCTCCTAAAGCTGAATCCCCAAAAACTGAATCCCCAAAAGCTGAATCTCCTAAAGCTGAATCCCCAAAA